TAAAAATGACTAAAAATCCCATGCCCAAGATGACAGATAATCAACTGTAACATTTTGGTGTATTTTCCACCATTCTTTGTATGCATATGAATGTATTAGCTCTTCTCATAGTGATATGTGTTTTGTAGGCCAGTTTTAAATTTTAACATAAAAAATAATTTGAACTTATTGTTCATATATATATTCTATCTATCACAGAGTAAAACTTAATCACCAAAATTATAGTTTATTATGCTCAATAGAGTTAAATTCTTATATTTATTTGGGAAGTATCTTAACATCAAATGAAGCAATGCACTTTCCTCTGTTTTCTTTTTTTAATTTGGTACAATTAAGTTGTTATATGTTAATCATATCAATAATAATTCTCTTCTAGATGCTGGCATTCATGAGTAGATTATAGGGTTAAACTGGGTAAAAGTTCATTTTTCATGAGCATACATGAATGATGTTACTAGATCCCATTAGAACAGTGCCAGTCATGATGGGAGGGTTAATTTGCTTCACACTGTACAGTGTAGTTCCAAGTGTAGACTGGAGGCTGTTCCTTGACTTAAGGATAATATGTTGTATCATCTCTTCTATATTGCTTGGGTAGACTGTAGTAGTACTGTCATTCATTCCTTTTAAAGATAGCTACTAAAAAACGGAAGAATTAAGTCAACATATTCCCTGTGTGTCCTTGAAAGGCATTTTAAATAGCCGGAGAGTTTCTTCCTTATATAGGAAAGCAAAACATGTAAACTGTCAAGGAATGTAAAGTACTTGGAATAGTGCCTGATACATACTAAATGCTCAATAAATTACTGTTATTATTACTATTAATAAGAACGAATTATCAGTGTAAGTCTAGAAATGTCTTAGATCTATATTCAGATTCTCATCATTGGTTATGGGATGTGAAGAGTAAATTGATATCAAGATACAGGATGAAGGTCATACTTTTTCATGTTGATGCCTAAGACCTGGCATAAAAAGTTAAACAAAGACCCTATACTGGGATAGATAAACTCAGCTGAACTGAGTCTGTGTTTCACTTAGAGCATAGCCCTCAGTCAGTTAACACTATTTTGAAACTGAATTCCCTAGGTAAAAAGGAAACAGCTACTCTTGACACTTTTGTAAATGTTCATGGAGTCTGTTTGGTGAATGTGATCTCTGTTCAACTGAGTTGACATGAGAGTAATCTGCATTCATGGGGCGCCTTATACTCATAACAAGAAATATTGCTTTGTTGATCCAGGCTGTAAATCCTTTCCAAATTTTTAGGAAAAAAGTACGTTCATGGGGGACAGATAGGATATATTCAATGTAAACACACTTTGTTTTACAGAGCAAAGATTTGGAAAAGCTGAAAACATTTTTGTTAATTCAACCTCTGCATAGAAACCAAGAAAATCTCAGGTAAAGAAATAAAAAAGATTTTTTCTTGATATATGATTATTCTAATGATATTAATAATGCTTTTCTTCTATAATTTTAAGCAAATACAGGTTAACACTATAAAAGCACCATGCTGGATTATTTTTCTTACATTTTTACTCTCCTAATCCTTGCCTTAGTTTTAGAAGTTTAGAAAACAAAATGAGGTTAAATAAAGATGGTTTGAATATATATGTTTTCTTTTGGTAGTGAAGCAATTTTTTCTTTTATTTGTATCATAATATTAAGTAAATAAATAGTAATCATTGAGTTCCTACTATGTGTTATGTTTGAGGTATGTATTTGAGATAAATAATTGATTTTGAATAGAAATACATTTATTTAAGCCTGTTAAAATGTTTTCTGTAATTTTAATTTACTAACCTTTGAACAAACTACAAAGTGATTCATCATGTAGATATAAATCTCTGTCCCTAGGAGATTAGGTGGACCGTCTCTGCTTCTATTAAAATTTTAATATACTTAGGTAAATTGGATTTACATTTGTTGTTTTTTAGCCTCTTAAGGATATTTTGTAAACCAGCTATAAAGTAAAAAGAGGTATTGATTTTTAAACATTTTAAGATATTAAACATTTCAAAGTATCCTAAAAAATAAAGTGCTCTATTACAAGTATTCATCATCTTTGGCATCAGACGTTTCTAAAAGTCAGTGTTTTCTGTGCTTGTGACATTGCCTTGAATCCACCAATACCATTTTAGTCTGGGAGGATCCAACAGTGGTAAGTATCATAGCCATGTAAGTTCTTGTAACTATGAGCTGAAATTCATGTCTGGATCCAGTCAGTCCTCAGCTTAACAGTGAATTTACAACTTGGGAAAAGTAGTATAAATAAACATGATTTAAGTTAAATTTATCTTTCTCATAGAATCTATTTTAAATATAGAATTGTCTTTCTGAGGGTGTAAAATAGATATTTACTCACTCTATGAATCATATGCATACTATGGGAGATTTAAGCTTGGGAATCTTGGACATTTATATTGCATGGGTGAATAGTAATAACTGGATACTGCTGATTTGCTTTTATTTTGGGCTTCAGTTACCTGGGACTGAGTCCCATTTATTTCAGGTTACTGAGTGTAACCCCTGTGTTTAGCTGAAGCTAAACAATTTTTAAACTTTTTATGTTGATAATCTTAGGCTTGCAGAAGAGTTGCAGAGGTAGTGCAGATAGTTCCAATATACACTCTACCCAGCCTCCCCAAATGTTAATAACGTCTCATATAGCCATGCAACAATGACCAAAATGAAGAAATTAAGATTAGTTCTGTAAATACTGTTAACTAAACTACAGACTATTTAGATTTCCCCAGTGTTTCCACCATCTTTTTTTTCTGTTCCAAGATTCAAGTCAGGAGACCACAACTGCTTTTAGTTTTTGTGTCTCCTTACTCTCCTTCAATCTGTGACAGTTCCTTAGTTTTTCCCTTATCTTACTACCTTGGCACTTTTGAGGAGTACTGGTTAAATGTTTTGTAGAATGTCCTTCAGTTAGGGTTTCCTTTTTTCTCATGATCAGACTGAGGTTATGGCTCTTGGGTACATGACATCAATATGTCTTATTACTGGTGATGTTATCCTTGATCAGTTAGCTAAGGTCGTATTTGCCAGGATTCTCCATGGAAAGTTATCATTTCCCCATTCCATGTTCTGTCCTCTGAAAGTGAGTTACTTAGTCCAGTCCAGTCCAGGGGAATTAAGATCCATCTTCTGGAGGGAGGAGTATTTAAGAAATTGTAGACATATGTTAAAACCACCATAGTAAGTAATAAATATTTTGTAGGGGATCCTTGGAGACAGTGTGGGTGCTAGTTTCTCTTTAAAGTTTCACTCACTAGTTTCAGCACTCATCGGTGGATCTTGCCTGCAGCAGTTACTACTTTGATACTCTAATGGTGATTTATTTCCCTTCTTCTTTCTGCATTTATAATTCTATTGGGAAGAACTGCCTCTTTTTATTCATTCATTCATCCAGCTGTATATTTTTATCAGTATGGTCTTATAGATATTTATTACCTTATGGATACTTACTTTATTCTTTGGGTTGTAACTCATTATTATCATTATTTATCATATTGCTCAAAGTATTCCAGCTCTGGCTGTCAGGAGCTCTCAAGGGTTGGCTCATGTATCCTTTGGACAGACCCACGTCTTTTAATTAATTTTATTTATTACTATTATTTTTATTTTTATCATCAACTTACTTTCTGGCATTGTAAGATTCTCCAGATTTATTTTGGATTCTCTATGCCCTAGTCCCCAAACCAGCCATTCTTTAAGAAGCATAGTTTCTTTTATTGGAAAATGGTATTTAGAAACCAAAATCTGACTTCTAGGTGTTCTTGTTACAACTGGAGAGTCATTACTTCTAGGTCCTTTCAGTGCAAAGAGTTAACAAGTGTTTGTAGTATACTAACCCATGTATCTATATTCATTTCTGTATATATCCATCTGTATATATATTAAAATAAACATTAGTTCATATGGATATCTCCAAATTCAGTCTGTTACCTTAGGATTTACTCTAACACTCCCCATTTACTTATTTGAAACTTCTTTCTCCCCCAGGTACAAACCTGACTGTCACTATCTACAATATATTTCTTATTTTTTCAACTCTAGTATATATGTAAAGTAGTTTCAGAATTACTAACCTAGACCTGTGAGATACATATTTACCAACAAGAATATAGTGTTTTGTCTTTAGCCTTTCGTCTTTAGCCTTAGAATATCAAAACTCTGTTATAGAAAGTTATTTATCCATGAAATCATTGACAAGACCAATATCGTGAGTCTTCTCCCCATGTTTTCTTCTAGAAGTTTTACAGTTTCAGGGCTTACATGTAAGTCTCTTATCCATTTTGAACTGATTTTTGTATATGGTGTAAGATAAAGGTCCAATTTCATTCTTTTGCATGTGGACATCCAGTTTTCCCAACACCATTAGTTGAAGAGACTATCCTTTCCCCATTGTGTGTATTTGACATTCTTGTTGAAGATCAGTTAATGATATATGTGTGTGGATTCATTTCTGGGCTATCTATTCTGTTCATTTGCTCTATATCTGTCTTTATGCCAGTACCGTACTATTTTAATTACCGTGACTTTGTAATATACTTTGAAATCAGGAGATATGATACCTCCAGCTTTGTTCTTCTTTCTCAAGATTGTTTTGGCTATTCAGTGTCCTTTATGGTTCCATATTAATTTTAGAATTGCCTTTTCTATTTCTGCAAAAAAAACTATTGGAGTTTGATAGGAATTGATTTGAGTCTCTGGATTGCTTTGGGTAGTCTGGATATTTAAACAATAGTAAGCCTTCCAAGCCATGAACATGAGATGTCTTTCCATTTGTTTGTAACTTATTTAATTTCTCTCATCAGTGTTTTTATAGTTTTCAGTGTACAGTCTTCTCCATCCTTAGTTAATTTTATTCCTAAGTATTTTCTTCTTGACACTATTGTGAAAGAGATATATTCCATTATGACATTGATCTTGGCAGTTGTTTCGTTGATATGACAAAAGCACAGGCAACAAAAGCAAAAACAGACAAGTAGACTATATCAAACTAAAAGGCTTCTGCACATCAAAGGGAGCAATCAACAAAATAAAAAAGGCAACCAATTGGATGAGAGATAATGTTTGTAAACCATTTATCTGATAAAAGCTTAATATCTCAAATATGTAAGAAAATGCTACATCCCAATAGCAAAAAACCAAATACCTGATTAAAAAATGGGCAAAGGAATTAATAGACATTTCTCCAAAGAAGACATACAAGTGGCCAACAGGTATGTGAAAAGATTCTTAAGGCCACTAACCATCAGAAAATTAAACCACGATAAGATATCACCTCACACCTGTTAGGATGGCTATTATCAAAAAAAAAAGAGAACAAGTGTTGGCAAGGAAGTGGAAAAACTGGATACTGCTGGTGGGCATGTAAAATGGTGTAGCCACTGTGGAAAACAGTATTGAAATTCTTCAAAAAATTAAAAGTAGAACTATCATATGATCCAACAGCCCCAATTCTGGTATTTTTCCAAAAAGAATTGAAATCACAGTTGAAATCAGGAATTTGATGAGATATTAGCATTCCTATTTTCATTGTAGCATTATTTACAATAGCCAGATGTGGAAATAATCTAAATATCCATTGACAAATGAATGGATAAAGAAATTGTAGTATATCCATACAGTGGAATGTTATTTAGCCTTCAAAAAGAATGAAGTTCTGATACACATAAAAATATGGATGAACCTTGAGGACATTATGATAATTGAAATAAGCCAGTCACAGAACAACAAATACTACATGATTCCACTTATTTGAAATATCTAGAGTAGTCAAACTTACAGAAGCAGAGAATAGAACAGTGCTTGCCAGGGGCTGGGATGAGGGGGTAATGGAGAGTTATTACTTAATAGCCATAGTTTCTATATGGGATGATGGAAAAGATTTGGAAACAGTGGTGCTGGTTGCACAACAATGTAAATGTAATTCTTGCCATTGAATAGTATACTTAAGAATGATTTAAATGGCATTAAAAATTTAAAAGCTATGGTCACAACATGTAGAAATTGATACTTAAGGTTTTAAGCACTCTAAAATTTCAAATTTTTCAATCAAGTAGCTATTGCAGAAAACTGTTACCAGCAGGTCAGAAAATGAGGAATTTTAGTTAGTCAAGTGGCCATATAAATAGTGAATTAAGCCTATACATCATAAACATCAAATTTCAAAAAATCTAAGTATTAACACAAATCTATACTTATTTAAGAATTAAATGGAATTTTAATTATTTAGTATTTAATTTAAGGATCATACTTATAAATATCCTTCAACAATGAATGAATAAACAAACTGATACGATGAAACACGACTGAATAATAAAGAAGAACAAACTTGATTCACATAAAACAAGGATGATCTTAAATGCATTTTGCTAAGCCAGACA